TCAGCACGAATACCGGCAATGTTGCGAATGAGCTGACACAATCGGTATCGTCGAAAATTTGAGGGAGGGCGCATGGCACCCTTGGACTGTCATTCCTGTTAAATATCCGCACGCATGCTTTGAGCGCTTCGAGCTCGTATTACATATAATTGGCGGTGACAGTTTCATGTTCCACTCAGATCTACCATTGCACTGGCCGCCCTAGGAAAATAGGCAGAACGGGAAGGGAGACAACTCTCTTGACTTCTGGTTGGGTGATCCTTTCTCTCCAAGCATGCAATGAGATAAATGTTTAGAATTGGGTTTTTACTGAAGAACTGGCCCCTTCTGCCCAGTAAACATGACGACGTCGGCCCGACGTTGGGCCGAGGCTCGGCCCGACGTCGGCCCAACGTCGGTTCAACCTCGTCCCGACATCGGCTGGACGTCGGATATGCCCGCATGTTCCGACGTCCAGCCGAAGTCCAGCCGACGTCGAGCCGACGTTGGGCCGAGATCGTTTGCCGAGGTTGACGAGATCGTTTGTCGTTGGACCGACGGGGCCGACGTCGGCATGTTTATTGGGACAACGCGCCAAAAATATCAACCGGCGGCGGGATTCGAGCCCCCCAGTCGCCGACGTCGGCATGTTCACTGGGACAACACGCCAAAAGCACCAGCCGGCGATGGGATTCGAACCCCGTGTCATCCGAACGCGAGGTTAGTGCGCTAACCACTACACCACGCAGCCAGCTAACGAAATAGGTTTTTTTGTTGGGTTATGCCCTTTCGGTCTGACAAGACCATTTCAGAGCCGGAAGGATCATAGGATGGAGACATTGGTCTTCTTGGCGAGCACCCTGGGTCCAGTTCATATAGAGTCCCTGGTCCCATTGCTGTTACGTGACACTTATTGGAAAGGGCGACCCCATAATGGGTTCATTCATATAGCCACTCTTATACACCTGCACCAACGTTTCCCAAAGTGTCCCTTTGATAAATGGCACTTTGGCAAAGTGACACTTGCCGACTGGCCTTTCTATATGAACTCAGTGGCGGATCTACGTTGGGGCAAAATGGGCAATTGCCCCCCCTAAACGGAAAACCTCTGGGCAAACATATCTTTTTGCCCCCCCTAAAAAAAATACAACTTGAATACTAAAAATATGGTGTTTGAAAAGAAAATGTGAAATAAATGGAGGACTAGAAGGTTGTCATATTCGTGATATTAAGTTGTGAGCTGATAAAAAGTCCTCCGCCCCATTAATGTCAGTCCATCATCCATCAGCAGTGCTACTACTGCTACTGCTACAAAAAAAATAACGCGATTTATTGAAACCTTGAACCAAGTAAACAAACCGTCAACAGCAGACCGCCAGACGCCAGTGGGGTCAGGGGTCACCACACTGGTGAGCGGTTGGACAGTGCAGTGGGTTTGCATGGGTATATAAGAAGTGTTTGCATAATATTTTATTGCTAGATAGCATGGGTGTAGGAGCTGAAAAAATATTGGTGGGTCTAAATATCCATTAGTACCTAGCATTTCCACTGTGGCTACATTAGTTATGTCCAGAGGCGGATACAGCCATTTCCAAAGGGGGTGCCAAAAGGGTGCCAAAGTCCGAGAGTCTCTACAAGAGCTGCATACCTATGTGTATGCAGGACTGAGGAGCGAAAGGGGGTGCCAAACTCAGTTTTGGCACCCCGATTACTGATTTTGGCACCCTGGCACCCGCTTGGATCCGCCAGTGGTTATCCGCTATTGGTTAATGTGTTTATATGGCCTATGGGCTTGGTTAATGCTAACCAAAGGTGTTTCCATCAATAACTACCTAAAACAACCAGATAATTGACACCTAAACCAAATTATGAACAGTGATAGGTATAGGCACCAAGTTGGGATTCTTAATCGACTGATCTCATTTTCTATTACCGGAAACAACTGTTAATACTTATACGTTTAACTATGTGGCAACCCTGACTGCGTATAGTATCGCAGGTACGCTGATGTGGCCTTTGGTCGTGGGCATTTACACATGAACCTGCTGCTGCGACCCTTATCGGTCTCCGGATACAGAAGCCCTTGAGAACCGGCGCGGGCGGACCTTTCGGACGAGGTCTTGCCGAGGTGATGCGGGAGGTAGAGGACGGACCGTCCATAGCAGGGCTGCGGAGTCGATGGATTTTCGGCGACTCCGACTCCGACTCCGACTCCGGCTTTCAAAAACCAGCTCCGACTCCGACTCCGACTCCGGGCAGAATTGTCGACTCCGACCGACTCCAACTCCCGACTCCGACTCCGCAGACCTAGCAGGGCTGCGGAGTCGACAGATTTTCGGTGACTCCGACTCCGACTCCGGCTCGGGTTTCTTAAATCGACTCCGACTCCGACTCCGACTCCGGTCACAACCTTGGTCACAACTGTCGACTCCGACCGACTCCGACTCCGACTCCGACTCCGACTCCGCAGCCCTGGTCCATAGCGCCGGTGAGCTATTCTCTAACTATCTCCCGGAGTAAGGGTGGCTGCAATTTTTTTTTTGCGCTGCCCTGGCTTGGCCGGACTGACAAAAATGTAAAAAAAAAAATAATTCCCGAAATCCGAGGAGAAAAATAGAGGTAGCTCGTTTTTTTTTTTTTGCTCCTAAGACTGGACGTTTGAAATTCTCGCCGACTTGCCTGGCGGCGCAATGTTTGCCCCCCCTAAACTCAAATCCTAGATCCGCCACTGTATGAACTGGGCCTGGCCCTGGTGAGTTGCCGGGGCTGAGCCTGACCAAAGGATAGGCCGAGCAGCCCCCAAGCATTCACCGCACCCGGCTACGGGCGAGCTCGGCTTACGGGCAATCCCAATTGGATAAAGTTTCCCGTCCAGTCCGGATCAGGGGGTTGCGGCGTGGAGGAAGATTTGAGTTTCCTGAGGATATTTTGAATACAGAAGCTCTTTATGAAACATGTAACATGTATTTTATATTATTTTAACGGTCAAAACAGCGGCCGATGTCGGTCCGACGTCGCCCCGACGTCGGCCCGACGTCGGCTGGACCTCAGCAATTGATCTCGGTCCGACGTCGGCCCGACGTCGGCTGGACCTCGGCTGGACGTCGGAACATGCGGGCATATACGACATCCAGCCGACGTCGTGCCGAGGTTGGACCGACGTCGGGCCGACGTCGGCATGCTGATGCCGAGTTGCCGACGTCACCCCGACGTCGGCCGACGTCGGGCCGACGTCGGCATGTTTACTGGGTGCCGCCAGTGCCTCTTCTTCATCCAATCCAGCACACAAATAAAGAAAAAGGAAGAGTGGTCCATCATATCTGATTACTTTAACCCTATTCCTGGCGGGCTCCGCCGGGACAAGAAACTGGCGGGGGGGGGGGGGGGCGATTCGGCCCCCCCTTCAGATCTAAAAAACTACACATCGCAGCGACAAACGGTAAACGGCATCGGATACACACGGTCAAGATCTACAATTTTTACAAAGGTCATTTTCAGGTCAGGTCAAAGATGACGTCACAGGGGTCGAAAAAGTCAAAATGGCGGCGCTAGATAGGGAGAGAGTTTTTCTCGAATAACTTTCGAATTAGTCAAGATAGGAACAAACTAAGGGCATCATCGTGATCCTCTCGTCAATCCGCATCGAATGATATATATGTTGACCTCGAAAGGTCAAGGTCAAAGGTTGACCTCAGGTCACGTGACCTCGAGGTCATCATGTATATCAGTCGATGCGTCTTGACGAGCTGAACACAATGAGACCATCCACGCGTCTGTATCTTGTTCCTGTACGGAGTTATTGGCCAAAAACCTTTGGTGACCTTTGATGACGTCACATGACCTCAGAGCTGCCCAACAGCAAAACAGACCTCAAGGTAGTGAAGGTTGATCGTATATGAAGTCATGTATGGTATATGGGGCCATTCCGACCCGTTTTAGTGGTAAAAACAGGGAGTTGATTTTTCCCCCATTGACTTAGGTATAATGGGGAGGTCGCGAAACTGACCTGACCTTAGGTCACCGATATCAAAATTCCAAGATATACAAATTGCACATACTGGTACCCTAACTAAAGCCTGAAGAGAAGAAATTGATCGGTCAAAAATTCTAGCTCTGGCGTGATTGCAAACTTTTCTGAGGTAGGGTCACCAAACCGCCTCTGGTGACCTGACCTGAGGTCAGGTCAACCCAAAATTTTCAGACCTGTTGCGTAGAAGCCTTTAAGGAAAAGTCAGAAAATTAGAGCTTCCTAGCTCAACGCGTTTGGGAGAAATAACCAAAAAACCTCAGGGGGGGGGGGCTCCTGAGGCCCCCCCCGCCAGGAATAGGGTTAAGCACATTTTACTCCATGACTGTCCTATATCCTCAGCTAGCAACAAAGATCATTATGATTCCTGCATCATCATATAGTTGATTGATGGTGCTTGGTGCTCCTCTCTTGTTTTGCTTATTCTTAGACTTCATTGTATTCATAAGACAGGCAAAACGCTCCAATTACCCGTTACATGTAGTTACCATTAAGCACATAACGTACCGGATTTATGATATGCAGATGTAAGAAAACTCAGTGCATGTTTGCGGATGAATATTCGTTTTCCTCCCCACCTCATGGATCTAGCGAAGTGTGGAAGATGTGGCGGCCATGGCACTTATAAAATGAATAATAAACTACGCCTTCTCTTAGAATCGAAGGAAGACGGAGAGAGAGGGAGACAGAAGGAGAGAGAGAGGGGAAAGGAAGAGAGAGAGGAGAGAGAGAGAGAGAGAGAGAGAGAGAGAGAGAGAGAGAGAGAGAGAGAGAGAGAGAGAGAGAGAGAGAGAGAGAGAGAGAGAGAGAGAGAGAGAGAGACGGCCAGATTGTTTATTTTCCAGTTTATGATGGCTTGCATTTGATGGTGGTAAGCAGTAAATCTTTTCAGTTGAGTATCGATCCATGTGGTATCGTGATTATTACTGCAGTCGCTCAGTTCATACCCCACTCGCTCTCTCCCTTCCTCCCATCCCCCCCCCCCGGCACTCACCCTGACAATCCTTGATGACCACGGCGTCTCCGAAGTAGCCATTAGCGCACAGGTTACACGCCGGTCCGTCCGTATTGTTCAGACACCGCAGGCACTCTCCAGTGATCGAGTCACACGAGCCGGGGTCGCTGGTGTCGATGTTCCCCGAACAGCCGCACGGCTGGCACGAGCCACCCTGGATCTCCGGCGTGCCAAAGTAGCCTGCCGCGCACGCCTGGCAGCGGGCGCCGTAGTAGCCCTCCTGACACTCGCAGCGAATGTTGAGACCGTCCGGGGATACCTCGCAGCTGTTGGCAAAGCTGTGGGACGGGTGGAAGCGTCAGGGAGGTGTGGGAAGAGACATCCAGATGTTGAAAATTAGTGAGAAGGAGACACAAGGCCATGATAGGTGAAAGATGAAAAACCTGCAGCCGAGCACACCAAAACAAATACCTAACAAGAAGGGAAACAATCGTTTCCTAAATTTGAGTCAGCTGATGCAAAGACATAGTTTAGCGAGACACCCTGTGACCCATCTCCCAGACCCTCTACCACCCCAGCCCTATTACCGATACCCCCTCAGTCCCGTGTCTTACTTGTTGGAGGCGATCGGCAGAGGACAGGCACAGATCAGACAGTCGTAAGGTGAGCCGCCCGTGGCGTCACCATGGTAACCGGTGATACATTTCTCACAGTGGTCGCCCGTGGTGCTGTGTTGGCAATCCTGTGAACACGAGACACGATTATTAGAGCTAACATCACTACATGCCAGCAAGGACAAGTTACACGTTCACTGTCCAGCCAGCGAGTTTTTTGCAGTTATCCAGCGACCGGCTCATCATGTGTGCCATGTTTTCTGTCTCCCACTGCCACTCCAGCCTCCTCCCCACCCCTCTTTCCACGGGTAATCCCGAAACACTTCTTTCTCTTCCACCCGCAGTTGTCACCCATTCACTGATACTCACGAAGCATTTCCCGGTGAGCGGATCGCACGTCTCCGAGTGGCCGTTGCAGTTGCAGGGCACGCAGTAGCCGCCGTAGGGGCCGGTCTGGGCGCGGTAGTGGCCCGGGGCACACTCCTCACAAGACATACCTGCGAAGAGGGGCAGGTGGAATCAGATACATCAAGTCCATATATGTCTCACATTAAGGAGGACAAACCTCTCGAAAACCTAGCGGTCTATTATTTTACTTGTATCTTTACGCAACAGGGAAGCAAAGAAAAACTTAAAATATAGAAATCATACACTTTCAAACTAGACGAAAATCGAAATGACATACGTCAGCTAACGAGAAATGCTTCATCAATGTGGTTTATGCACAAAGTATCCGTTTGCGCAGTCAGTCACAGCAAGTCATTCTCTTCTTTAGTTGTAACTAGATGGCATGTTTTGCGCTATAACTGTGCGTTTTGATAGATGCGTTTGAGGGGGCATTAGTTTGGGTGTGGGAACTTCTGATTTTTATTTTTATTATTTTGTCGGAGTTGGATATTTGTTTGAACGGCATGGTATGCTGGTGCTGGTTGCGGGTTGTTAGCGCCTTTCTCGTGGTTTGCCTTTATCGAACTCAAAGCTACCCTACCCTTACCTACCCATACCCTACCTTACTAATAACTTACACATAGTTACCCTTCTCATACTCGATTAAAGTAACGTACCAAATTTGAGCGCGATCGGCCCAGCCGTTCTTGAGATATCAAACTGGCCCACTGCACGTGCGCACGCGCTGAGACTCCAGATGACTTGTGCCAGCCACCTTTCTGAATTGTCCCCCAACAGTAAACAAAATTTGAGCGAAATCGGCCCAGCCGTTCTTGAGATGTGGAAGCGGACCCCTCACGTGCGCACGTGCAATCGATCCACCCTACCTGTCACAAACGACCATGCACCGCCAGATTAATGCCCCCTCCACCCACAGTCCAAGTTTCAGCGCAATCGGCCCAGTAGTAGCTGAGTTATTCCTAGTACAATAATGTGCTGTTTACTGGTAAGCGCTTATTTCAAGTATTTGGGTTTCCGCTGGGCGGCGGTGCATTGCAGCCCATGCTTTGATAGCTATTGTCAAAAGTTGTATGACCTGCCGGCCATAAGCCATCGACGGATTTTGTCGAAAAATACCCGTAACGTTAACGAAACACGGTCGTATGCTTGAGTCATTTTCACAAAAGTTTATTGACTTTTCGATAATATTTTGGGTGGATATTGGTCAGAAAAGAATGCTCTTTCCGAATATGTAGGTTTCATAGCGATTGATCAGCGTTTTCAATACGTTTTGATGTTGTAAAGGACGTCGCGCTCCGCGCGAATCAAATTTTCAAATTAATTTTTCATTATTTAGGAAATGGCGCGGATCATCAGTTTTTGTTTGCTATTCTCTGATTACACATACATTTGTCTGCTAAATGATACAACATCGATTTCATTCCGTCAAGCCGTTTTCCAGCGGCATCGATTTTCCCGTCACAATGCACGAAATCGGTCATTTTTTCACAACCGGGGGTGCTGTCTTGCACGTAGCGCGTGCTATACTACGAAACCATATCAATACGCTAGTTCCATCTCTCCTCTATCCAGTGGTGGCAACCCGACCTCGCTACGGCAATCTGTCGCCGAGTTTTGGGCCCGGGAAGTGGGCGCCGCAGGCCGGTTTTCCCCCGATCGTCGATTTGACCGTTTCCCATAAGCGTAACTTTATATCTCTTTGTGGGTGCTCAAGCACCCCCAATCCTGAGCTCAGCACCCCCTGCCTTCTTAAAGCACCCCCAGCCTCCTCAAAACATTCCCAGCTGACTCAAGGCCCTCAATAATAAGAATGTCCATCTCCTAGTACTGTAATGAGCCCAGTGAATCATGCAAATACTATGCTTACTCAATTCAGTGACTAAGAGAATATACATTGAATAAATCACCATAAATTAAGATGCATGACATTTGTGTTAACATTACATCTGATATTATCAGGGGCCCGGGAACCATTTTCAAGTTGGGGGGGGGGGCGAGCCTAAAATACCTGACATGATGCATATGAAACAGTGGCATAGCTAGGGGTCTAAGGGGACACGTACCCCCTCCCCCCCCCCCATCGAGTTCAAAGGGACCCTCGGGTCCGAGAGGCCCTGCGGCGCCATTTGACCGCTGAGGGTTAACGATGGCCATATTTCTACTCAGAAGGGCCCCGTGGGGCTCGTTAGAGCACCTCATGGGCCCTAAATAGCCACACTAAGGTCTCCATAAGGGCCCCACGCCGACTTCTGAGGGCCTCTTGCGGCTTTTAAGGACACCTCGGTGGTCTTCAAAGGCCTGTTAAGCCTGAAACAGACTCTTTCCGCAGTCAGGAAATCGCATGCGAGAGCCTATTCAAATACATGGAAGCACGCTCGCATCAATCGCACGCACCTCCCGCGAGCGATTGATGCGAGAGGAATTACAATGTATTTGAATAGGCTCTCGCATACGATTTCCTGAACGCGGAAAGAGTCTACTTCAGCCTTTACTGGCCTCTGAGAGGTCTTACCGGCCTTTGAGGGGACAGTTCTAGGGGCATTTCCTACCTGTGATGGTCCCACACTTATTTTTCTAAGGGCCCCATAACGGCAACTATGGGGCCCTCGTCGGTGCCTATGAGGGCCCACACCGGTGTCTCTGAGCGTTTCACACCCCCAACTGAGTGTCTACACCAGTGCCTATTAAAGCCCTATATCGGCGGCTCTGAGGACCCAACAGTCAACACCTGTGCATCTAAAGGTCACCCACTGATGACTTGAGGGCCCCACAACGGTGACCCTGAGGGCCCCACCGGCGTCTGACAGTACCATGCCGGTCTCTTAGGACCCCGTGCAGGACTTCTTCTGCCGGCCTAAGCCCTAAGGACCCCTTGCCGGTCACTGAGACCCCCTGCCGGCTTGTAGAGAGTTCGCGCCAGCAGCTCTAAAGGCCCCACACCCGTCTGTAACGGCTCTACACCAGCGTCTATGAGGGCCCGGAGCAACGCCTGTAAGGATCCCCTCATCGGCGCCTCTGAGAGAATCACACTAGCACCTCTGATCGTCCACACCGGCACCTGCATGGCGGTCCCACACCGGTGCCTCCCTTACCGGCGGCTCTGAGGGCCTTACGCCGGTGATTCTGAGGGTGCTACCGATAACTCGACACCTTTTTTAAACCCCACATTTGTTCTCCGGTGAATTTCAGACAATTTCAGACAAGAGACCTTCAAAAAAGGTACAATCACTCGATTTTTCTCAAGTTTGTCTGTCTTGGCAGATAAAGCAATACCAGAACAGGCCTACGAACACACATATTTGATCAGGATCGGACGATTGGACACTTTTAAAAGGAGATCTTTCGTGCCTCCCGGAAATTCACGGGAGAGCAGATGTGGGGTTTAAAAAAAGGTGTCGAACTGAAGTGCACTGACGTGGCGCCCTCTGAGGGCCGGTATGGGATTAAAGCTCAGCTACACTAAGGGCTTGTGTGGTGCACACAAGCCCTTAGTGTAGCTGAGCTTTAATCCCATACCGGCCCTCCGAGGGCGCCACGTCAGTGCACTCATTGCCCCACGTCCCTCCCTCACACCCGGAGCGGGTAAACTGTGTTATACTTATAGCAACGATTTTACCACCGTTGTACGTTATGTATTTCTCAAAGTTGACTCAAAATGGTCCAGTACAAAATCTGGCCTGCCAAACTTATGGCCAAGGTCAGGCCCAAACACGTTTTGGGCAATCAGTCTCAGTCCATGACTCCATTCTTCGGCAACTATACGGTGCAAGGCCGATACTGTAGAAACTTGCAATTTGTACCCTTGACCTGACCTTGACATTGACCTCAAACTTTAAATTAAGTACATGTTTTTAGTTATTCGTGATGAGATCTTTCGATTGGCGTTTGAATTTTCCAAATCGGACCATTAGTTCGGGAGATAACAGGGGGGTACAATTTATCCCCCCCAGCCCCGCGCGTTCGGCTGGAGACCCCAGCCCCGCGCGGGTTAATGCATTGGGTGAGCCAAAATTGTTTTACAGTGGCGCTATTAAAACAAGCTCTCAAACCGATTAAACATCATTTCTTGCATGATGCCTGATGGCTATGTAACAGCTGGAAGCTGTGACATTTTTTTTCTCCGTACGTCAAAAAGGACATCTCTCACACTCTATACGTAAGGACGATCGCACTGCCTGCCGCGGCGCTGAGCCGGCGTGGGGAGGGAGTCGACCATACGATCCCCCGACCCGTCGGCCGGTCACCATTAAGCGAAGATCAAAGGCTCGCCGAAGGGTGGAGTTCCAACACACCCATCCGGGCCGGCGCAGCTGCCGCCGACAAACGCGCGCAGTCGGAACCACCTGCTGCCGGTGCTGGACCAGCCTCCCGACGCCTGGCGCCACGCACATCCTGCCGACGCAGCTGACAGGAAGGTGGGAGGATGTCGTTGCGGTCAGCCGTCCGGCACAGGCAGGGACCGACATCCGGCGAAAATCGAGTGTGAAAACGTCATCCGGCAGGAGACAGCTGAGACGGATGAGCCGAGCAAGTGAGGATGACGTCACGTTCCGGCGGAATGGAGGAGGAGGGCGACGGTCTCGACTCCGGATGCGAGACGGGATGTCGCCAATTTTCTGCCCCGGTCAGCGAGGCCCGGCGACGCCCGGAACCTCCGGCCCGGAAATCACAGGAGAACAAAAACTCAATGCAGAAGGAGAAGGGGATTCAGACAGACCCGAGACGGACCACCGGAGGCCGACCACCAAAGACAGTACGCCTCGGGACTCGGCGCGGGACACCGCCCCGCCCGGCTTCGGCCGGAGCGGCCTCTCTGCTGATCGGATCATCACTGCACCGGACCTCAGCTGGAGTGGACAGCAATCATCAAACACTGTCAAGTGAGTCATCTCATCTGTCCGCCTCATCAAGACTGCCTCCCCGTCATGGAAAATTCACCTCCCATTTACCCATCGGATGTCTCTGATCTGGATTACAAATGCCACTCCCTGGGGTCTAACCTGAGCCACCATTAGAGGGTAATGGATTTAACATCGTGGGAGTGTTATTCGGCAGGGAAGGGAGGGCAGATGGTCGCTACATTCCGC